TAGTTGAAAATTTCAGCGTCGATGACTCCCCTTCACTGAGAGCTCTTTTGTTTGTTGTTTTGCTGTCTTTAAATGGCGGCCAAAACACTTCCTTTTTCAACGGCGTCAGCCAAGTTTCGTGAACAACAGCTACACTCTGTTGCTTCCACTGTCATTAAATGGTATTACACAATACATCCTGAATACTTTCACGTGAAAAACAGACTGTATAGAAATACCACTCAAACACTCAACATTTTAACATTCTTAACAAATTCAATGGCACAGACGCCGTTCACAAACAACACCCATTCGAACATGGACGATGGACAATGAACATGAACGGGAACGCACCATGCACGATGCAAGCTTGACGCCGAACCACAGAACGGACCGCTGAACGGCACTAACGCCACTAACGTCAGTCGCAAGATGGTCGCGAGTCGCATACACAATCTCTTCGCGTAATTACTTGATCGCCATTGGCCATCTGGTCGGTAAGTGAGAATTGTCTTTGGCGCTAAATTTAAACATTGAAAATCAAGGGAAGCCTATGGAATAAAGTACATTTTCATCATACATTTATACAGTTATTTGGATAAATTGATTAATTTATTTCATAACTTAGTTTTCCTATACATACATGATAATAATAATAATAATAATAATAATAATAATAATAAAAATAATAATAATAATAGTAATAATAATAATAGTAATAATAATAATGATAATGATAATGATAATGAAAAGGCAGGAGGGGCAAATCTTCCAGAGGTTTGCCCATGGTGAGTAGCGACACCACCTTTCCGAGCTGAGGGTGCAAAATCGGACTGGCAGCGAGAGCGCACCCTGAAGGAGAAAATCTTTTCTCCTTGCATGTCAGCCGTAGGCCTGCTAGGTTAACCACCTGGCAGGTCCGAATACTCTGGTTCCAATCAACCGAGGACAGGGCCCCCACAACCGACCCCAGCCGGATAGGGGTCAAAGGCAAGGTGGTGGGGCCCAACAGGACGGACAGCCTGATAACGACCGCGATGAAAATGGACGCTTTGAGTGGACAGATGATCTGAGAGACGACCTTCTGCAGTGCTTCGAGAGCAGCGATCCAGGGCGTAGGGGATACATGAGGCGGATGCATGCTCTGTGGATTGAGCAACACCCAGAGCATGGAGCATTCACCGCTCAGAATCTGCGGGATTATGTATCTCACCTACGCGCTAGACAATACGTAAGAGTCCCTTCTCGGCAGGAAGATGGTGTGGAGGAACAACACGCTCCACCCATCCTGCTCGACAACGAGAGAGGGGACCGTGTGCTTCCTGAGGTGAGCGAAATCAGGAACCGCAGGAGCCTACTCAACATTAAGGCCCTGCGGACCCGAGACCTTGCAAGGATGGATGAATCGCTTCAAGAAACACTTCCGGAAGGGGCTGACATCTGGCACATCAATTGTGCCGTGTATGACGTGGTTCGGTCCTCTCTGCCAGAGAGACCTATACAAACGGTCTCACCGATTGAGAGGGCCGATCGGCGTGTACAAAAGATGGAAGCCAAGATCCAGTCGGCGAGACAACACACTTCCCGTATCCAGTGTGTGATGGATTATGTGAGTGCCAACAGGCCATTCACATCGAAGGTGCGACGCATGGCCACTAAATTACGTCGCACCCATCACACACTAAATGAGGCAGTGCTATCCACCATCAAACAGCACTGCCTCGAAAGGATACGGATGTTAGTGGCTGCAAAACAGTCACTGAAGAGGCGAGCGAGAGGGCTGGCGGAAAATAAACAATTTCGCGAAAAGCCCTCTCGCTTATTCCAACCGCCTCCAAGTGTGGTTGACAATCCGCCGACTGCTGATCAGGTGGAAACCTTCTGGAAGAGTATTTACGAGGTGAGGCATCCATTCAACAGAGATACTCCAGCCCTGGCGCAGTTCGGTACCTTCTGCGGAAGATACCGAGAGCCTGAGCCCGAATTACTGCGCCAACCGATAACCACTGAGGAGGTTCGAGAAGCCCTCAAAGGCTCCAAGAACTTCGCTGCTCCTGGTCCCGATGGGATCAATAACTTCTGGTGGAAAAAGTTTCCCTCTACCCACCACCATTTAGCCAGGATATTCAATAGCTGGCTGAATGGGGAGCAGCAAATCCCTGAGTGGTTTATCGAGGGGCGAACCGTGCTTCTCCCTAAGACTGGAGATTTGTCCAATCCGAAGAATTACAGACCAATTACCTGCCTGAATGCATGTTACAAGTTGTTCACACGCATCTTGTACATGCGAGTACTCCTAGTAGTTGATCCGGTTTACCAACGGATTTTTGAGCAGCGTGGGTCGAAGAGAGGTGTCGCTGGCTGCAAGGAGAACCTGTTGATAGATAGATCTATTACACAGGACTCTGTGCAGTACAAGCGGAATCTTTCTGTGGCCTGGATCGATTACCGAAAAGCATTTGACACAACGTCACATGAGTTACTCGTGTACTTGCTCAAATGTCTTTCGGTACCCGATTCTATAGTGAGATGCATAGAACAACTGATGCTGGTCTGGAAGACCCGCTTTACTATAACATCAGGTAATGCGAGAGTTCAGACAGAGCCAGTTATCATAAGGAGAGGAGTATTTCAAGGAGACTCCCTTAGCCCTCTCCTATTCTGCATCTCACTTCTGCCACTATCCGTTGAGCTCCGCAAAACCAGAGGATACAACTGCGGCCCACCCAGTTACCGGAGGCATAAAGTCACCCACTTATTCTATGTGGATGACCTCAAACTTTATGCCTCTGGTGAGAGGGATATGGACCAATCCCTCAGGGTGGTGCAGGAGTACACGCAGGCAATTGGAATGGAATTCGGGATGGACAAATGTGCACTGGTTCATCTCAAGAGAGGACGATGCGAGAACTACGACAAGGACGCGCAGCTCGTGGACGGAAGCATCCTACACCACCTGGATGCCGGAGAGACGTACACCTACCTGGGTGTAGAGGAAACTCACATCCAGGAGGCACAACGGGTGAAAGACGCTCTCCGCAGCAAGTATCGACAGCGGCTCCGACAGATCTGGTCGTCAGAACTGTCGGGGAAGAACAAAGTCGCTGCGACTAACATGCTTGCTGTTCCGATCCTACTTTACTCATTTGGAGTGATAAAGTGGACTCAAGTCGAGCTGCGACAACTTGACGTAAGTACTCGCAAGATGATGCATCTCCATAGGAGTCTGCATCCAAATTCGTCCGTTCCACGGTTATACATACCTAGAGACCAGGGTGGCCGTGGACTCTTGAGCTTGGAGTATCTCCATAACAGAATGGTTCTGGACGGCGCCTGCAAAGTCATCAGGAGTTCGGATCCCCTTCTGCAAATGGTTAAAACCCATGAAGAGGCAGGAGTAGGAGCTTTTCTTTTCAGGGCAGCACGTCGAGCAGCCGATGAATTGTCTCTGATTTTCGACTCCGAGCGCGAGGCTCAGGACTCAGTTACTGAGCTAGAACCCGCTCGGAGAAAAGCCCGCATCAAAGCTGCAGAAGTGAAAAAGCTCCTGCAGCTTCACATGGATAAGCCCATGCATTCGGTCTACTTCAAGACCATTGAAGACCGGGGCTTATCCAAAGAACTGACTTTTGCTTTTCTGAAGTCAGGCGGGCTCAAATCGGAAACAGAGGGGTTCATCATGGCATGCCAGGATGGGGTTTTTAACACTCTCGTCTACCGTAGCCGTGTCATGGGTATGGAGGTCCCTGACACAAGTTGCAGGGCCTGCCGCAGGGCGCCCGAGACAATTATGCACTTGCTGTCTTCTTGCACGGTGTATGCAGTCTCGGCCTATATCCATAGACACAATGCGGCATTGCGAGTGCTCTACTACTATTTGAGGCACTCGTACGGAATAGACGAGACCCCAGTGCTGCCCTATGCTCCGGGAGATATTGAGTCCGTTGTGGAGAATGAGAGGTGCCGAATTTATTGGAACTTCTCATTCCCCACCCTCAGGCAGATACAAGCTAACAAGCCTGATGTAGTCCTCCTCGACCATCAAACCAAAGCGATGTTCGTGATCGAGTTTTCGGCGCCAGCCGAAACGAACATCGTTTTGAAGGAGGAGGAAAAACGGACTAAATATCGAGATCTTCTCTTCGAACTCCGCCGGCTCTATCCAGACCATTCTGTGGAATTGGTCATCCTGATTATCGGCTCCCTAGGAGGCACACGACACACGCTGCTCTCGGAGATCCAGAAAATCCCAGCGTGCCGTGATAAGGCACACATCCTGGCTGGTGGAATGCAGAAGGCCGTCATATTAGGATCATTGCGTCTACTCAGGGCACACGGTACTTGGTCCCAGTGATTACTCACCTCACAGGCTGTGAGGAGTAGTCACTGGATTTTGTCCAGCACGACTCTGCGTGACGTCGGAGGCCGCAGGGTCGTGACTGGAATCATATAAACTCAAATAATAATGATAATGATATTGATAATGATAATAATACCCAAAAAAATATGAAGACCATAGATTGACGTCTATACGTCAAAAGACGTATGAGACCAAAAAAGACCTCAGATAGCGGTCCTATAGACGTCACATTCGTCAGTCTGGCTACCTGGGTGTTGCCTCATAATGACACCTCATAATTACAACACAACTTACATCGCAGCGATGGAACATTCGTTAAATCGTTGTTATGCCGCAGATGTGTCTGCTTCTGTATATCGCAGCGATGTAACATTCATAATATGGCGAAATTTTGCCTCTTCGCGACATCACAGAGATAACATGGCGCAGATGTGTTTGCTTATGAACATCGCAGCGATGGAATATTTGTAATGTCGCACTGTTACCTAAACGCGACATCTCAGATATGTCATGTCACAGATGTGCTAACTGGATAGTTGGAATAATGGAATGTCATATGTGTGACGCGGTTTCAAGCTGATACATAATATGGGTTCTCATAAGAATAGCACAGAACTTTAAACCTTGTTTCAATAATTATTAGCGAACGTGTAGGTGTGACACGTAACGCCGCTGCCATTTTTAGAACACCTCTCGATACAGTGACAGCCGCAAGAAATTCCTGCCATGGCGCCGGCAACGTCGCGCCGCATTTGCAACGACTGACATCGCGTTAGCCGCTCAGACAGTCGACGATCGACGTCACGCCGCAGAGCAGAGCAGGTAACGGCCCAAACAGCAGCGCAGCAGCAGCAGGAGCAGCACAGCCACCCACTATTATTATTCGATTCGCGCGATTTGACTTTTACTTCGCAAAAGGCTGTGTGCGAGACAATCGCGCGTGTTATTGTGTGGGACACGGCAGCAAAAAATCGGTTAAAGTGAGTGAGTGAGACGTCTCCTCCGCCATATTGACGTTTTTTTTAGTTCCGGGTACAAGAATCGGTACCTGATTCGTTTCCGGTGGTGGTCGGTTCCTTTTTTCAATCGTTTATGTTGTCTGTTGACGTCCCGACGTCTCCGTATCGCTGCGTCGCCGAAATAGCTGCGCTTGTCTTGGAGTGCGTTCCTAGAAACGCATTGCATAATCAATGACAGAAAGGTATTGTTATCTACTTATACTAGTTCTAGCTACTAGTTTGTTGCATTTTGTTTTTGTGCTACCTCTACCGGAAGTCTATATTATAGCCTTCATTGCGTGATTGTTACACGTTTACCACTCGCGGTACTTATATACTATATACGCGGTATTGTTGCGGCTATAGAAATGCAACACCTCGGTACCTCTTCCTATACATCACACGTTCATCAATTACTTATTACCAATTCATCATAATAGGTATATTACCTAACTGCATTAAAATTCAGATCGTGCACTTAATTTAAGCAGTCAGTGGTAAGTTGAACTTTTATTAAAACATCACCTACTACCTTGCTTTACGCAGTGCATACACCTATACTTATACCTATCTTCTACTGTTCTAAGATTCAGATATTGTTAGACTTTATCATCAATTCATCAATATTCTGTCTGCTCTGAGGTCTGCTCTGTTTCTGCCGATAATTTTTTTCCGAAGACACATTTTTTATTCATATATCCGACCAACAAAAAATATGTAATTACCTACCTATCTATATATATGAGACTTAGAACCTAACAAGAATATATTTGGCTTTGTGAAATCCTCGGTAAAATCTAGGTATGTTGTCTATTTACAATCAGTTATGATAATTTACTTATAAACAATTCGATAAACAGGATGAGACCTGCAGAATATCTGTTTCCAAAGACTTGTTCATCCAACGAACAGCGAGGCTCTGGAACACATTGCCAAGGGAGGTGTTCCCCGAGGCATATAACCTATAGAAATTTATGAAGAACACCAATTCGTACCTTATTTTCCTTGGTTCTCACGATGTTCTCTGAACATTACAGGGTATCACAATTCGAGGGAACCAGAACATAAAAAAACTGTCGAGGGTACTGTTTTGAAATTGGCGAAAATATACACCTTAATTAAGTATCTATCACTGTATGAATATCATATTATACCGGTAGCATAATATGGAAAATACTCATTTCAAAAAATTTGAAATGCCCAGCTTCAATAGTTGTTATAGGTACAAAGATCGCCCGAAACTCAATGTTATATTTCCGATATATTTCAGCCGAAGTTACATAAATGATTATTGGAAGTTTCAATCAGGCTTCTATTGTTACGTTATCACTTAAAATTATCTAACAACCAACACTATCTTTGGCGAAAAATTGGTAGTATACCTACACTCATTAGCATAATAACTTGATTTGAACATTTTTATCTAGACAAAATTACTTTATTGTAATTTTCAGTCGGCTATACTTTTAGCAATCCATTTTTGAACCAAATTCTGAAAAATGAATATGGTTTGAACATATCGAATAACATCTTTTTTTTACGTACATACATATTAAGAGTACCTCGTCGAATACAGATACACAATAGAGTGTATGTAATTAGTTTGCTTCATCTTCATTCATAGCGAATTCAGAATGTCCCGTTACACACGATCTTACATAAAGTAATTCTCCTGGGTCTATTTTCCTTTCATTGTTAGTAGCAGACGAGGTAGGTAGCAGCGTAAGTGAATCGTGATTTGATGGGCATCAGTTCAGAAGACTAAGCTTTGAGATAATTGAAACAAAAAAGTATAAATTATCAAAGAAAAGCAAAATGGGAATTCGAATAATTCTAACAAATTGAAAGTATTCCGGGAATGAAAGTATTTCTATAGCTCATTTTTTCTGTTTAATATGTTTTATAAACAATCGTGAGTCATGATATTTGAAAAAATATCATTAAAAACTGAATAAAACACTAGTGAGTTGATAACTTGACATTTTATTCATCTTCTTGGATGTTATTGTTCACTGGCCAGTTTGAAATGTCTTCATAAAATGGTGTGCATCGGGCATATACATCTTAAGTTTGACGAAATATGTCATTTTTGACGTATTTGCTTGGATCGCGTTTCCTCTTGCGTGAATTATTTTGTTCCGTAACACTCTGTCTACATTACTCCCAGTTCTGCTGTTTTTTATATATTTCTTGCAGTATATTGAAACAAAATTATATTAGTTACTACAATATTAACAACAATCTTCGATCCAACAAATTCAATTCAATCCTAACCTGAAAATTCACAATAAGGAGTTTAGGGCCACGTTGCCGTAGCAATGTTATAACGGCATGAGACACTGAACTGATGCCTTTATAACGAACTCCGAATTTTTTGCGCGCCCATAACAACATTATCAATACAAGGACAGAGGCCGTTTTAACAGAAACGATAGTTTGATTAATTTAGAGTTCAACGAAAATCGAGACGAAAATAAAAGCTCAAAATTGCTGGATGGGTGATTTAACAAATCACGATTCAAGTAGCAAACGAAACTTTCCGATTTGGCAGACAATGAATAGAATAATAATTAGAAGAATACCCATGTTTGCACTTCCTTAAAAATAATTGTGCCGACGCCCATGTGTCTTCATAGACACTTACCCTTATAGAATACAGAGTGGAGCGGAGTGGAGCAATCTTGCGTCAATTACTCGTGTCCTAATAGCTAGGCTAGAATCATGAATTAAATACGAATATTAACCGAGATATAAGCTATACAATAGGGCCTATGACAGGAAATTATTACCGCACATATACAGGGCGCATCAAGAAATATCTCTCGAACGTAATCGAGACCGTAATTTAAACCATTCACACGGTTTCGATTTGTAATTAGATGTAACGATGATCAAAGTATCTTAGAAATACCATAGTGTGGTAGCAAAAGGATAACGGGAACCGAAAAATAACCATGAGTGAAAAAAACAAGTTGCTTTATGTATAGTTATGGTGTCTAAACCTCGGTCTAAACGTACAATAATGAATTTGAATCTCAACAGGCTTACAGGATCAAAAATGTAGGTATATAATATATATTGATGAATTTTCCAAGGAATTGTCACATTCTCAATGGTGATAACAGTTATTTTAGTATACGAGGAAATAGGAAGCTAAAATATAGGTAATATTTTTTCAAATATCTGTTGATTTAATTCTGTGATTTGATTTCATAATTTACGTAACCGCGAACTGGAATGGAAGATAAAAACGGCTTATTGGCTTATTTTTACAAACTGGCACAGCAGAAGCCTTCAACCGTGTACATACAGGGTGTTTCATTGATATTGCACAAAACTTAGAGGTCTTGTTTTTTGAGTCACAATAACAAAAAAAAAATCATATAAACAAATGCCTGAACACGATTTGTTTCCGAAGTATAGGATACTCAAGTTTCTTAAAAAGATCAATTTTTTATGAGTTCCGTTAATTTCTAAATTGACATTGGTAGCAGTTACGTTAGTTCTGGTTTCATGGTTGCAGGATTAATTTGGTGAACGGGCAACTAGATTTTGATTTGTACAGTTTTTTTCTCATCGGGTCGGATCGGGTCTCGCATCGGGTTCATAAGCATAGTTTAGTTTTTATTTGTTACTTCTAAAACGCAGCCTTTCGTGCAATATTAATGAAACACCCTGTACAGTACTTGAATCCGGGAAGAGAGTACTGCCGTCGAGACTGTCGTGCATGGAAAGAAGTATTTTTTTCTTCTGTGACGGGAAAGAAAGTTTGGCATTTCATCTCTATAGACAGGTTATGAAATGTCACTTCTCAAAAATCACTTTGTTCCACGGGAAAAGAGAGTACTTTCTTGCCAGATATAAATATAATACACTGTTGATGGTTTTTGTTGGTCTGGTTCCGAAAAATAAGCCAATAACAAGGTCTCCGAGAAAGAACTGAAAGTACCTCGGAAAGTCCTTTTATGTTCTATTCCACTTCGCGGTTACGTAAATTACATAACAACCATTAAGTTCTCAATTTTTGCAAAATTGAATCACAGAATTAGACAGACAGATATTTGATTACTTCTAAAGAATGACCAAGAGGCCTATACAAAAAGATGTAGGTGTAATTCCTTTTAAAAACTTCAAATGTCACGTTGATAATTTTCTGGTTTCAATATAATGTGATATCTTCTGAATATTGATTCGTCCTTTTTTCTTCCACAGAAAAAAAAGAGTATTATACACGGGAAAAATATTAGATTTCAGCTGACTACTTTTACGTACTTTTAGCCCTTGTGTAATGAATATAATGAATAGTAAATACGAGTAAATAGGTAACTATTATAAGTGATTTTCTGATCTGTTGTCAAGCAGAGATGAAATGTCATACTTTTTCCCTTTCACAGAAAAAACGTTACCTATATTCGATGTTTTAGTACAAAATAATTACATGTGCTTATTCCTTGTTTCCACAAATATTCGAGCAGTTGAATATATGCATAAGTGAGGATGTTAACGTCTCCATAAGTCACGTTTCAATTGCGAAATCCGAATACGCCATTCCAAACAACAACAACAGCCGTGCATGAAAACACATTTACGCATACCATACCAAATTTTCCGTTGCGTAGCAAATTATTAATACATGAGTATAAAAACGCCTGATCGTGGGATTGTGCAGCACACCACAATATTATCATTATTGTTTGTAAATACCTTGGTAAATAGGTACCACTTCCTCGACAACTATGATTTTTTGAATGAATATTCAATATGTTGGTACTTGAATAGTCTCGATTTTGAACACCCTAGATCTAATCACTTCCGCTACACCCTGAATGTGATGCATTGATGAAATCTCTACAGGCAATGGCGTGTTTAAGGGGGGCCAGAGGAGCCCGCCTTCCCTCCAAAGCAGGCTAGACTCGAATAAAAAAACACGAAAATGTCGGTTCATCCAGTCTTATTTAATATTTATAGAAATCTAAAATTTAATTATTGATATATAATGATTGTTTTATGCTAAACGGGGTGAATATTTTATACACTGAAAAACTCGTCGAATCGTTAGTTCATACCTGAAGTGGATCCACCATGGACGTATAAAAAAGAAGGACACAGCAACTCAATACTTTCAGCATATAATGTTTTGAAGTCTTAGGGAAGGGAAACGGTAACGATAGACTGTGCTATTTCCTCAAACGACAGCGGCGTGCGAAAATGAATTATCGTAAATTTCGGAATCCAAAATGCAAAGAGCGACTAAAAACTGAATACCAATCACTATATGACCGTTTATCAATCCGGATCGCTATGGGTTATACCAAGTGAACATAACGAATACAGTTTTGTATTCCGACAAAACCTTTCATCTATCGGAAAATTATAAATTATGTTGGTGAAAATACTCTCTTTGATGCCTACCTACCTATAGAAACGTTTTTTCCGATTTCTGGTTTCCACATATTGAATAATGGATTTTATATAACTGTGGTGTGGTGAACTGGTACGCAAAGTAGATTATTAAAATAATTTAATTTCGGTACTATTTAAGAAATCATTGAAAGTTCTGTATCTTTTTCCATATGGTACACCAACAAACCAACTTTAAAGAGTGTCCCAAAATTGCTGGGACACAGAACTACCACGTGTAATGAGGTCAAAATTGATTTATATACACTATGTTATATATTATTTTCACTTCTTCATCAACCACTTCTTTGACCCCCCGAAGAACAACTTTTTCTCTGATTAATTGATGATCACTCAATCCGATCAGTTTGGGAATCTATTTGATAACGATGCAGATGCAAAATACTGTCAAATACCTATATCCTCATTCATGGCTAACAGTTTATAGAAAGGATAAGGATTATTATACTAGACAGGATAAGGATTATTACTCTTAACAGAAAAGCATTCGGAACATACCTAAGAAACACTATTTGATACAATCAATAATGGATATGGGACTTTCAATATGCAATGAAAATGAATATCGAGCACTTCCCAAGACCGTGGAAAACCGATAAATGCCAGTCACACATTTTCAATTCCATATCGCATTCGATATCCTGCACGTCAGAAAACGTGGCTGGCATTTTCGTGGATAACTTCACACTAACTGATCGTGTCTGTATTGATGAAATAAACCTCTGGTGTACGCACTTCAATCCTTTCCTGTTTTACAATTCCTTGATTTTCGCCTACTTCGATGAACATAACATGGCGTGGGTGAATGTCGCTAAATTTAGTCTGGTGCCGTACCAAAATTACAGGCATCAATGTGACAATTGTGATCGAATTGTGACCAATGAAGATAGGGAATACATTTTGCGATTTAGCCGCATCAAGGTTGGTAGAACTGATGTTGATCATAAGTTCTAAGAATCACGCCATCTAACATTCGATATGTGAACCCCACGTCATCGTCTGAAATTCAATTGTTTATATCAAGAACCAGTCTGACGAAACAAATGAAGAGTGAGCGCACCAGAGGTTTATTTTATCAATGTGTCTGTTTTGCAGTGTGGCTTGGGTGAGCAAACGAAGCAGCGTCGGCGGCGATGGGCAGCAGCGGGGGCACCGAGGGCGGCAGTTGTGGGGGCGGCAGCAGGGCGGGGGGCGGCGAACAGTACTGCTTGCGCTGGAACAACCATCAGAGTAACCTGCTGGGCGTGTTCAGCCAGTTGCTGCGCGACGAGAGTCTGGTGGACGTGACGCTGGCCTGCTCGGAGGGCCTCTCTATCAGAGCCCACAAGGTGGGTGCATGTACAGGGCGGTCATCGAAGATTTGTCCCATGGTCGAAACTACTTTCTCTACAGTGTGTCGCACTTACCATGCTCACCATGGGTATCTTTTTAACGGTGAGAGATACGAGGTCGGTTAAATGACACCAAATGTGGAGTTGGTCAAGGCCAACTATAATGTGAAATAATATTATGATAAAATCTATTCGTTTTTGTTTTATACGCAAAAAACAGAATTTGATCATTTTCATGTCTCCTCCGTAACTTCTTTATTCATGAAAATATTCGAATAGGAATTTCACAATCTCATGGCAGTTTTTCAAAGTGATTTCGAAAAAAATATGAAATTTATACCAACTCTTCTAGAATTTGAGATATCAGCACCAACTTTAGTTTTTCAAATGTAGGTCATAGCTCACTATGACTTAGTTACAAATAACTTTTTTATCTCTTACCAATGATATGTCGCAGTAATAGTTTTGTGTTTGAGAACAACGGAGTTATCGTCATTTATACAAAAACAAAAAATTTCTTGGAAGCCGCCATCTTGAATTTATGAATTTTAACAAAAAAATCATGATCTCCGACCTCAAAAACCCCCATTTACCAATTTTGAATGGAATCGGACCAAATCTTGTCCGCCATCTTGGAGCAGCCATTTTTTCTAATTTCAACAAAAATTCCATAATGTATTGTCTTCAAAATCATGAACACCTGCCAAAAAAATGGCTGCTCCAAGATGGCGGACAAGATTTGGTCCGATTCCAACTTGATGGAAGAAATATGATATTATATGAAATTCCATTGCAATTTATGCATAGTTGAAGGTTTTACGGTGCTTTATAACGAAATTCATTCAGGAAAATGATTTGTCGAATATTGGACTGGGAAAAGATATCATAGTAGTTTATACTTGACGTTTTCGATCAACCAGCATGTCCAAATATGTATTATTTTCCATGACAAAATATCATCTATTTGTTGGAGACTTGGCAACATTGTGCTGAATGCTGAAAACCCACAAGTCGTGCGTCATGTTGACCGATTCAAATGTCTTCTAGTGTGAATTGATGTAATAATTATTCACACAAATACAGGACGATCCACGGTAAATGACCTATTAGAAGTATCTGGAGAACGAGAAGACAGAACATTCTGAAAATTGGGGTGCTATGATAATTGAACATTCTCTATCAGTCTAAAATATTTTTATCGATACAGTGTTGCCACTTCTATCAGAAACAACTAGCAACTTCGTTATTTCAATTGGAACAGATACAGGGTGATCAGAATACTGAATCTTGAAGCACCCTGTATTTTTTCCATTTTAATTCCAGTAGATAGTGAAACAAAAGTTAAGATAGGAACATGTAAGCCGTTTTGATCGATAATGAATAGTTTCGACACAAAAAAATCCTAAAATTGAAAAATCTCGATTTTGAACACACTATATCTCTGTGATCATTCCTGCTAGACCCCAAGTATGATCCACTGATGTAATCAGCACTTCAGGAAGAATCTATAAATGCAATAGAATACAGGGTGTTCCATTTGAAATAACAAAGTTGCTAGTTGTTTCTGATAGAAGTGGCAACACTGTATCGATGAAAATATTCCAGATGGATAGAGAATGTTCAATTGTCGAAGCATCCCAATTTTCAGAATGTTCTGTAGTTTCGTTCTCCAGATACTTTCAAAGGCTATCCACCGTGGATCACCCTGTATTTAATAAGCAATGAGTCACAAATTATAAGGAAAAAAAGAGTCTACTCTCCTATTCACCGTCTTATGTGACATTGTTAGAATATGTTCGGTAACAATAATATATTCTCAACTATTCTTCTATCTGAAATCTGAAATCCCACTGTATCTCTGTGTTCAACTTACTGATTTGCGCCGCCGAACTTCTATTTATGCGGTGAATTCGTTCAATGACGAAAAGTTCGGTGTACCTCTATTCCGCTGAACTTAATCTCATAACATAAATATCGCCTATTATCAGGGCCTACTCTATCTCACCGGGCCGGAGCATCGCTTTCGTGACGTCACACTAGTAGGGACAAAATCAAGGCAGTGGCAATTGTCTCTCCCGATTTATTGATTTACCTCGGGAAAACGGTCACAGTTAGCGAAAGATATCAAGAGGTCAAATATGTACAGAAAAGAATTTTCCAGAAGATGAATCGAATTTCATTGATTTACGATCATTAATTTCAGAAATATGGCATATCAAAATTAATTGACGCCATTCAGAATTGTCCTTTTTCAAACAGCTACCAAAATTCCAATATTCAATTTACAGTAATGATTCAACCATGAAAAGATTTCGCATAGTATCTAGATTGACTGAGTTTTTTTTTCAAATTCCCAAGGGCCAACAACAAACCGATATTTCAATTCAAGTAGAACGATGATTCAGGTGTTCATTACAGAATAGTTCAAAAAGTTCGGACGACTCCCATGCTAATACTATTAACTGTGGATATATGCTGTCACTGACTTTTTTGTAGGAAATTTGATTGCCTACAAATCAGAATAATACACATCCACTTTATCTCGAAGGGTTTTAGCAGCGTTTATCTCTAAAGATGATCAGGACGCACTTTGATGACGTTCGAAATCCTATACTCGAGTGTGTTATTACACAAAAACGCCTATTCGGTATCAATTATTTTCTGCTGAAGAGTATATATTTGAATGATAACGTTAAATTCATGAAAAAAATTTGATTTGAATATATTTGAAAAATATCAAAATTAAAAAGAACAAAATATGTGGAGTTCATATGAACACAACCTAACAAAAATAATTGAACAAATATGTATCTCAACAATGAGAGATATAAAAATGAATATAACGACTTGAATAACAAAATACCCAGAACAACGATATATGAATAAATAAGCAAAAAATTAAAAAAAAACGTTGAATCCTTATACACACACAAAACCAAACAAAATAAACTGTATAAATGATCAACATAACAAACTAAAAAAAATTTATAGATATCACAAAATGAAATACACTAATAACAAAAAATATAATATATATACATCATCTTAATCACAAACTAAATATTGGAATCTGAACTATATCTCATCTTGGAAGTTTAGTGATTTTTCTTTCTTATTTTTTTTTATTTCGCAATAATTGTTCAACGGAATATTTGAAATGGTTTTAGAAAATGTTCTGCTGATTAAATCAAGAGACTCACAACTGCAACATCGATTCTCGGAATAATTGAGAAGGGAATTGATTTCAATTTCTGCAAAATTCTCCAAAACTCTATGTTGTGACTTACATTGTAGAAATATTGTTTCGAATTTTTCAGACACCAATATTAGTTGGTCTGAACCATACGCCATTTAGAAATAGAATAAAATAAAATAACCAGTCCAAGGAATCATACCGCGAAATCGTAATACAGCGAAATTTGTGTAGGTATTTTTTACGCGCTCTTTATATTTAATTTCTTTCGGACTCATTGTAGGTAACTCTACAATTTTTTCACTATTCAATTGATTTATTATCGTAGTTTGATATATTGAGTTAGTTTCATCTTATTCCAATTCCAAATTTGCAAAAAATAGTATTCTGTAGTACAACGTCCTGATTTTCAATAAAATGGAATTTCGTTACAACGCCATAACTCGGTATTGATTCATCCTATTGGATTCATTTTTTCACCAAAAGTTGAGGAATTTGTTGGGGACCATTTCGTCTCGATTGAGTGTGCTTCCAAAATTTATAATAAATGAGCTATAGCCTATCAATTACCAACGTATCATTACGGACTGATGTGAAATCTCAACCTACTAGTGTGACGTCAGCGTCGAGAGAGAGGGGATAGACTACGGCCCGGTGAGATACAGTAGGCCCTGCTATTATACTCATATTATGATAGTGTATTTTTCTCTGTTTCTAAGGTCGTCCTGTCTGCCTGCTCTTCCTACTTCCAGGCATTGTTCCTGGACCATCCGAGTCGTCATCCCATCGTGATCCTGAAGGACGTTCGATTCGCCGAACTGCGCACGCTCATAGAGTTCATGTACAAAGGAGAAGTCAACGTGGAGTACTGCCAACTCTCCGCTCTACTCAAGACCGCGGAAAGTCTCAAAGTCAAAGGTATCTTGATTTCTACACCCTCCCAACTTTCTTCTTTTACACTGCGTCGCATTTTCGCGGTTGTCTCCAAAAGTTCAAGCAAAATTCCAACATCTACCTCCTCCCCTATCCTCCCTATATAGGTTCACATGTGCGCACGATGGTCTTCAAACATAAGAAATTTCCTTTCGTGCGCTCCGAGAGATTAAAAAAATCGCGACCTGTTCTCAGAAGACGGGTGTAGATCTGAATTTGGATAAAGTATAATACGAGGATACGTATCTACTTTCAATTTTGCTCGTACCTCTTCATTTTCATGCCTCTAGAAAAGCCGATCTCACTGTGCCCAACATAAGCTTGTCAGGAGTAACCATACCTTTGAAGACATCTTTTTCGATGCTTGGTATTACTATCAACAATAACCTTTCTTGGGGAAATCACGTGAGATCAATTGCTAAAAGTGCATCCCAAAACCTTGGTTTTCTGTTTCGGGCCAGGAGCTATTTCACTTTCAGTCAGCTGCTTATGATCTATGAGGTACAGATCCGATCTGTCCTGGAATACTGTTCTCATATTTGGAGTGCAGCACCAAAACATACCATACTACGTCTCTATTATCCAAAATTTCCCGATTTTCACCACAAATTCCTTCATAACTACATCGAATCAGTCTATGTGAATTTTTTCAGATTTTCAATAGGCCAAATGAAAATTTTCATTTTCCCACCTAAGACTTTCATACGATATAGTCACCGAGCCATCTTCGGACGGCCGAAAGTGCCAGAAAACGGCGAAAATCCACGCGAATTATCGCCTTCTCAATAGAAAATGACACTCTGAATTGAATTGGACCATGATCAGCCCGATAGGAAAAATAGGTTTTGAGATATCGGCGCTCAAAGTCAGCCTTCCGCTTTTATTGCCAATAAGAGCACTCCAGTAGGTTACTACGTCTCTATTTTCCAAAATTTCCTGATTTCCACCTCAGATTCGTCCATTTCGGCATCGAATTAGTCTATGTGAATTTTTTCAGATTTTTAATAGGCCAAACAAAAATATTCATTTTCCCACCTAAGACTTCCGTGAAATATAGTCACCCAGCCATCTCCGGACGGCCGAAAGTACCAGAAAACGGCGGAAATCCACGCGAATAATCGGTTTAGGAGTGGAAAATGACACGCTGAATCGAATTGAACCATGATCAGCCCGATAGGACAGATAGTTCTCGTGATATCGGCGCTCAAAGTCGCTTTCCGCTTTTATAGCCAATAGGAGCACTCTAGTAGGCTACTACATCTCCATTTTTCAAAATTTCCCGATTTCCACCACAGATTCGTTCATGTCGACATCGAATTAGTCTATGTGAATTTTTTCAGATTTTCAATAGGAAAAATAAAAATTTCCATTTTCCCACCTAAGATTTCAGTACGATATAGTCACCCAGCCATCTTCGGACGGTCGAAAGTGCCAGAAAACGACGGAAATCTACGCGAATTATTGCTATTTCTGTAGAAAATGACACGATGAATCGAATTGAACCTTGATCAGCTCGATACGACAGATAGTTTTCGAGATATCGGCGCTCAAAGTCAACTTTCCGCTTCCATTGCCGATAGGCGAAACATGCTAAGGAGTACGCCCTCTGTCGTCCTGAATATAACTTACGTATGTGCCATGTAATACTTTGTCTAACTTTGTTCAAATTAGTTCACAATATGAGTTCCATTTGAGAAGTTATTGAATAAATTTTTTTGAAAATATTCAACACGTTGGAAATATAGCATAATACCGCCTGTAAACAAATTTAAACAATAGTACCAGTTTCGCCGTTCTGGCGCTGCGATCTTAACCTCAGTCGCCTATAATAGGAGCACTCTAGTAGGCTACTACGTCTCCATTTTTCAAAATTTCCTGATTTTCACCACAGATTCGTTCATTTCGACATCGAATTAGTTCATGTGAATTTTTTCAGATATTTAATAGGCCAAACAAAAATATTCATTTTCCTACCTAAGACTTCAGTACGATATAGTCACCCTGCCATCTTCGAACGGCTGAAAGTGCCAGAAAACGGCGGAAATTCACGCGAATTATCGCTTTTCCAGGAGAAAATGACACGCTGAATCGAATGAGACCATGATCAGCCCGATAGGACAGATAGTTTTTGAGATATCGGCGCTCAAAATCAGCTCTTTGCTTTTATTGCTAATAGGAGCACTCCAGTAGGCAACTTCGTCTTTATTTTCCATAATTTTCCGATTTCTACAGATTCGTTCATTTCAACATCGGATTAGTTTATGTGAATTTTCTCACATTTTCAATAGGCCAAATAAAAATTTTCATTTTTCCACCTAAGACTTCCGTGAAATATAGTCACCCAGCCATGCCAGAAAACGGTGAAAAAACACGCGAATTATCGCTTTTTCAATATAAAATGACATGCTGAATCGAATTAAACCATGATCAGCCCGATATGACAGAAAGTTTTGGAGATATCCGCGCTCAAAGTCAGCTTTCCGCTTTTATTGCCAATAGGAGCACTTCAGTAGGCTACTACGTCTCTATTTTTCAAAATTTCGCGAATTCCACCACAGATTCGTTCATTTCGACATCGAATTAGTCAATGTGAGTTTTTTTCAGATTTTTAATAGGTAAAATAAAAATTTTCATTTTCCCACCTATGACTTCCGTACGATATAGTCACCGAGCCATCTTCGAACGGCCGAAACTGCCAGAAAACGGCAGAAATCCACGCGAATTATCGCTTTTCCAGTAGAAAATAACACGCTGAATCGAATAAGACCATAATAAGCCTCATTGGACAAATAGTTTTCGAGAAATCGGCGCTCAAAGTCAGCTTTTCGCTTTTATTGCCAATAGGAGCAAAATGGTAGGTTACTACGTCTCCATTTTCCAAAATTTCACGATTTCCACCACAGATTCGTTCATTACCACATCGAATTAGTCTATGTTCGATAAACCTTCATTTCCGAAAATTAGGATTAGGCACAATATCTGCATTAAAATGCGGTGTACCGGATTAACTTGAAAGGGTTGATAGCAAATACATATTATTATCTACTTCGAAAACAAATTCAACAGTGGTGAACTATTGAGGTCTAATTGATCGTTAACTTAAATGTCAGAATTCTTTAGAGTGTCGATTTGTAATGATTCAAAATGATTGAGTTTCATTCCTTATTTTCTACTTGTAGAATTTGGAAATTATCATCAAAACTATGGTTTTCTTCTGATATTTGGTTGGCGTATGTTGAATTCGTTTTCTTTTTCAAGAAATTCACCTTATGTTCATGAATGTGCTGATTTAACGTACGACCTGTCTGACCGATATATACCTTAAGACAAGATCCACAGTTGAGTTTGTATACCCCTGATTTTTCGAATATGAAAGCTTTGTCTTAATTATTTTTGATAAACCTTACCATCTTGTTAGAATAGAACAAATAACAGAATTGTTGGTGATTTTGTTGATATCTGACATCGTTAGGTACCTATTCGTTTTTTGAGAATAATATGTTCATGACATGGTCAGAGTATGCTGATGAATTTGTTTCTTTCTTTTGCATAGTCATCTTATCTCCTGAAATGACATTTTCATTGCATAACCCGTTAGATTCTCCATTTTTATCAATGTCATGACCATTCTGCAATACACTTTGATAAATTTTAATCAACACGCTTTTATAGGAAAAATTGAGTCACGACTAACTATTTCACGATCTAAGAATTCTCACGAATAAAAAAGTGTGTAGGTATAGGTACATTATTAATAACTAAATCACTTGCCATTATTTCTAATATTGTATATTGATGGTGTACAGTTATTGTAGAATGTGAATCCTTTCTATTGCGGTAATAATAAACTATAGCCTAAATGAGCTTTCTATTATAATTTCACTCTTTTTTTTATTTGGTAATGTGATTATTCATGTTTTATGTGTTTGTGCTCAACATCAAATAAACATCAATAGTGATTTCTTTGTTTTAAGTATGAAATATTGAAACACTCATATTTATCTATCATGCAAAGAATGGCGATTGTGACAATTCCCTAGTATAGGAACCAAAAATAAAAAGCTGGTGCAAGAAACTATCGTCTCTCTGGATGTCAAAAAAATCGCTTATCCTGAAACTTACATCTCTTGTCAGTGAATGAAATTTGGTGCAAGTTCATAGTCAATACTTTTTCGATTTAAACGCCCTGGTTCTTTTTCCACAGCGATATTTTATAGAGGCATATTTGGTTCTATTACCATATTTTGGTTCAAACAATCCGCCCTTTGCCTTAGGAAAATATTCGATCATAATTGCACAAGTGCATAAAATTTACCGATAATTTTTCAAGAAACCGTGTGATCTTAAAATTGCAAGTTTGTTTCCATATTTTGGCGGAAGATCCCGAGTCCGAAGGCTTGAATGCAAAATTATCTGATGATAATTTTCATGCACGAATGTAATTCATTGGAATATTTCACGAATGAAGAAACTAACGATAGATTGTATGGAGCACACACCAAAACGCGACATTTCTTTCAGCGATTAATTTGAAAAAATGTCACTTTTGACATGTAGCGAAAGTTACGTGACCCCGATTGAGTAGGCCATTTTTCATCTTTTTTGAGCAGAACTTAACGTCCAACTCGAATTGCAAAATAAGTCATTAATAAAAGTTTTTCCCATATGATGCCGACTTTATGAATGACACTGTATGTTACTAGATCTAGTAACCTAACCTGAGATATGTTGCCAGATCTGGTAACCTAACCTGAGATATGTTACCAGATCTGGTAACCTAACCTAAGATATGTTACTAGATCTGGTAACCTAACCTGAGATATGTTACCAGATCTGGTAACCTAACTTGAGATATGTTACCAGATCTAGTAACCTAACCTGAGATATGTTACTAGATCTGGTAACCTAACCTGAGATATGTTACCAGATCTGGTAACCTAACCTAAGATATGTTACCAGATCTAGTAACCCAACCTAAGATATGTTACCAGATCTAGTAACCTAACCTAAGATATGTTACTAGATCTAGTAACCCAAGCTAAGATATGTTACCAGATCTGGTAACCTAACCTAAGATATGTTACCAGATCTAGTAACCTAACCTAAGATATGTTACTAGATCTAGTAACCCAAGCTAAGATATGTTACCAGATCTGGTAACCCAACCTAAGATATGTTACCAGATCTAGTAACCTAACCTAAGATATGTTACTAGATCTAGTAACCCAAGCTAAGATATGTTACCAGATCTGGTAACCCAACCTAAGATATGTTACCAGATCTAGTAACCTAACCTAAGATATGTTACTAGATCTAGTAACCCAAGCTAAGATATGTTACCAGATCTGGTAACCTAACCTAAGATATGTTACCAGATCTAGTAACCCAACCTAAGATATGTTACCAGATCTAGTAACCTAACCTAAAATATGTTACTAGATCTAGTAACCCAAGCTAAGATATGTTACCAGATCTAGTAACCTAACCTGAGATATGTTACCAGATCTGGTAACCTAACCTGATATAAGATACATAAGAACCGACATAGAGCAGGGGCATATAGGAGGTACCAAAATATGACAATTTAACGCAACTTACCTCTATGCCACGTTGCTTCCCTAAGGAGTTATAGGCTTTGGAAGTGACGTTATAAATTTTGAAAAAAAAAATCAATATTTCCGTTATTCTTGAACTTGAAGCAACCAAAGTTGGTACACTTCGTGAATGTATTCAGGGCGTTACTTGACAGTGACTAGAGGTTAATTGAAATTTGTGAAGGGGGTATACCGGGTGGCGCACCATTCATATTCAACAGAATTTTGTTAACCCTCGATGGATTTCAAAAATATGTGCTTTGTTGTGTGGGCAATTCAATTCTGAAACTTTTCTCAGTCCGGTAATTTTTCGAAAAACCTCATCATTTTCATAAAAAACTCGAATAACTGAAATCGCGCGCTCTAGGTGTGTTAATTTGAAATCATCGAAAATTCAAAAGTTGGCTATGAAAATAAACGTACAACAAGAAAGTAGGTCATTTATTGTGATCAGTAGAAATTGGCTGGCAAATTATTATTCAGATACGTAACAAAATACGTAAAGTAAGGACTGAAATGTGAAAAACTGGGATGAACAACTACCAAAATAAACACAAAAAACTTAAACAACATCCAGAACAAACAATTGTTTATCGATAAAATACTTTTTTGAACAACTTACCTGCTTCATTGTCAAGTTTGACGTTTATTTTCATAGCCAACTTTTGAATTTTCGATGATTTTAAATAACACACCTAGAGCACGCGTTTTCAGTTATTCGAGTTTTTGATGAAAATGATGAGGTTTTTAGAGAAATTACCGGACTAAGAAAAGTTTTAGAATTGATTTTCCCACAAAACGAAGTGAAGATCCTTCAAATCCATCAAGGGTTAACAAAATTATGTTGAATATTAATGGTGCACCGCCCGGTATACGCCCTTTACAAATTTCAATTGAACTCTAGTTACTGTCAAGTAACGGCCTAAATACATCCACAAAGTGTACCAAATTTGGTTGCTTTAAGTTCAAGAATAACGGAGATATTGATTTTTTTCAAAATTTATAACTTCACTTCCAAAGCCCATAACTCCTTAGGGAAGCAACTTGGTATAGAGGTAAGTTGCGTTAAATTGCCATATTTTGGGACCCCTCACATGCCCCTGCTCTATGTCGGTTCTTATGTGAATCACCCTGTATATGTGACGGTCTGGCCAATATCGAAGGAGAACACACTATTGACTCAACCTGTATAAAATGTCCCATGCAATGCAATTATCGAAAACTTACAGCGGTAATTGCACTGCAAGAATGAATAAATGTCGGATAGACTTCAAAAAGAAGGAAAGTTACCAGATCTGGTAACATATCTCAGGTTAGGTTACCAGATCTAGTAACATATCTTAGGTTAGGTTACTAGATCTGGTAACATATCTTAGCTTGGGTTACTAGATCTAGTAACATATCTTAGGTTAGGTTACTAGATCTGGTAACATATCTTAGGTTGGGTTACTAGATCTGGTAATATATCTTAGGTTGGGTTACTAGATCTGGTAACATATCTTAGGTTGGGTTACTAGATCTAGTAACATATCTTAGGTTAGGTTACTAGATCTGGTAACATATCTTAGCTTGGGTTACTAGATCTAGTAACATATCTTAGGTTAGGTTACTAGATCTAGTAACCCAAGCTAAGATATGTTACCAGATCTAGTAACCTAACCTAAGATATGTTACTAGATCTGGTAACCTAACCTGAGATATGTTACCAGATCTGGTAACCTAACCTGAGATATGTTACCAGATCTAGTAACTTTCTTTCTTTTTGAAGTCTATCCGACATTTATTCATTTGTGCAGTGCAATTACCGCTGTAAGTTTTCGATAATTGCATTGCATGGGACATTTTATACAGGTTGAGTCAATAGTGTGTTCTCCTTCGATATTGGCCAAACCGTTACATATATAGAACAATTCAAATACAACAGTTATAGAGTTCCATGAGAACTATCACCTAGATTTATTTTTATATCTATAGGGTGTTCGAATTCCAAGATATCGGATGATGAAGATTTTTTTAACGGGATACCCTGTATATTATTGCACTTGTGGGTTTTCAATGCGAAGCTGAATTCATCAATGCATCACACTTGGGGTCTAGCGGTAATGATTGCAGATCGAGATATAGGTTGTTCAAAATCGAGATTTTTCAACTTAAGAATTTTTTTTGTCGAAACTATTCATTATTTCTCAAAACTTCTCATATGTCCCTATCTCAACTTCTGATTTACTATCTACTGACATTTAATTGGGTCAGATACGGGGTGAGCAGAATTCTTGAATCTTGAACCACCCTGTATTAATTCCAATTTAATGTCAGTAGGTAGTCAAACAAAAGTTGAGAAAGGGAGATGCAAGTCGTTTGATAAATTTCGACTATAAATATCCTATATCTCTGTAATTGAGGGAATCAGCTGTACAGGGAGAACCTAAAAATGCAATAATATACATGGTGTCCAATTATAAAACCCATCATCAGCCGATATCTTGGAATTCGAGCACCCTATAGATGAAAATAATTTTAGGTGATAGTTCTCATGAAACCCTACAATGGTGTATTCTAATTATCTTTCTATATCTGACGTTTTGGCTAATAAAGAACACAACTATTGACTCATCCTGTATGGCCACCAGTATCGCCTCGGTCTTTAGAAGGCTAACCACTCATCTTGTTGAAATTCTTCCTCTTTAGGACGTTGCATGTCAACATAGGCTACCATATGAAATTATTTCGAAACATACAGGGTGTCCCAAAAAAAACAATCCACTGAAGTTATACTTTTTAAATGGGACTCCCTATATATTATTTCATTTCGAGATTCTCCCGGAATAGCTGATTTCAACGACCCATCGTACTTGGGGTCTAGCAGTGATAATTACTGAGATATAGGGTGTGAAAAATCGAGATTTTCAAGTTCAGGAATGGTTTGTGTCGAAACTATTCATAATTGGTCGAAATGATTCACATATCCCTATCTCAATTTTTCATTTACTATCGATTGGTATTTAATTAAAATAGATACAGGGTGGTCAAAAATCTCAAATCTGAACCACCTAGTATTTGTTTTAATCGAATATCAATTGATAGTGGATTAAAAGTTGAGATAGGGACATATAAACCGTTTTGACCGATTATGAATAGTTTCAACATAAAAAATTCTTGAACTTGGAAAATCTAGATTTTTCACACCCTATACCTCAGTAATTATTACTGCTAGACCCCAAGCATGATGACTCGTTGAAATCAGCTCATCAGGGAGAATCTCAAAATAAAATAATATATGGGGTGTTCAATTAAAAAAAGTTTTTCGCGGTTTTTGAAATGTTTTGAAATAATTCCAAATGGTAGCCTATGTTGACATGCAACTTCCCAGAGATAAAGAATTCCAAGAAGATGAGTGGTTAGCCTTCTAGAGACCGAGGCTCTACTGGTGGCCCACCCTGTATTATGAGGGAAATATTCATCGAAACTGTTCCAGGTCTCGCCGAAATGACAAGAGAATACAAACCATCGCCCGAACAACTGGAGCCGAAAGAACTAGTAACCCGAAGATCTCACAACCAATCGCGTCCCATCACCCCCGAAGACCTCCCCGAGAAACCCCAACACTCCCCCACTGCCCCCCTCCAAAACTGGAGGCTGTGCAAATCGCCCGCCGACAAAGACACCAGAGACAAGGACGAAGAGAGAGAGCGAGACAAGGAGAAGGAGGACAAACAGATGCCACCTGTTGCGCTGGATGGTGCCAGCGAATGCGCAGGCGTGCTCAACAGCAACCATTTGGCAGCGGCGTGCTCTGCGTTAGGCCAGCCTGCTATCTACAGCAGGCTGGCCTCGCCATTGGATTGCCCCTCTTTGCCAGGACCTTCCAATTTACCCCCTGTTCAACAAGTGCCTCTGGTAAGTCGATTGTGATAAGCACAAGTCTTCACCGCAACTCGTTTGTCTATAATTCATTAAGAATGTCACCTATAGTAAACGTTGAGGTGATTTTTTTTAAATTTGTTGTGATCCCTATCGCAGTAGCGCAGCCAGAATTTTATATTAGGAAGGGGAAATTGATGAAATAAACCTCTGGTGTACGCACTTCAATCCTTTCCTGTTTTACAATTCCTTGATTTTCGCCTACTTCGATGAACATAACATGGCGTGGGTGAATGTCGCTAAATTTAGTCTGATGGTGCCGTACCAAAATTACAGGCATCGATGTGACAATTGTGACCGAATTGTGACCAATGAAGATAGGGAATACATTTTGCGATTTAGCCGCATCAAGGTTGATAGAACTGATGTTGATCATAAGTTCTAAGAATCACGCCATCTAACATTCGATATGTGAACCCCACATCATCGTCTGAAATTCAATTGTTTATATCAAGAACCAGTCTGACGAAACAAATGAAGAGTGAGCGCACCAGAGGTTTATTCCATCAATAAGGGGAGTAAGAAAAAAATCAAGGAGGGTAGGTATTAAAAAAACCGAGAATATTTATTATACAGGGTGATTCATTGAGAATGAGAAATCTCTGAACTACAGATAGTAAACACAAAAATAATGTGATTCAGCCCAATATGCCTGATGAGAATGTTGCTGGTTTAGGAGATACAGGGTGTTCTAGACGAAGATTTCAATTCAAAACACAATAACTTTGTTAGTTTTTGCAGCATGAACATAAAATCTTGTATTTCTTGGTTTTCTGGCATGAGGAATAAGAATTTGCAACTCATTGTGTGTTTGAACGATACATCAACTATAACAATAATTTCAGTTTCGTGTATCCAAATGGATGATCATATTACGGCTACATGGCAAAAATGGAAGACAAATAGTTTCTTCACAAGTAAATGAGAAATACTGCGAGTTTCTATCTTTGTTTTCTCAGTATCGTAGTTATTCTAGGATGATTTTATTAAAATCGATGAAATTATTGGCAGTTTTCTGGGACCGATAAGGGTATGGAAAATATCATGATAATATCGTAATGATCTTTGAATTTCTAAGCCTATCAAGCATCAAAATGTCATTGCTTTCGTTCCACAGCCAACTTCATATATTTCAATGAAATGCAATTTAACAGCCAATTAATGAACGAATATCAAATTGTGATACATAGTTGAATAGAGAATTTCAAGGTTACAAAAATAAAAAAGTTGGGTCTAGTTCCGATCAAACAGGTGGTTGAAGGACATTGCCATTGGGTTCAAGAAAAGCGCTATCATCGATAATATAACCCTTGCGGATTTCGAATAATTATCTCTTCAAATAAAAAAAATACAGGCTGATACATGTATCCTGTGTCACCCGGTATATATCCTCTCTGCATAAGAAAGGAAACTACTTCTCCAAAACAATCCAACCTAACTCAGCCTAATTCAATTTTCCTCCTAGTGAGTATAATTTCCAGGAAATTACTTGAGGATGGAATTTTGAAGAAATTTTCCACGCGAGGATTGAACCCAAGCCGTTTATGTGGCAGTTGCAAGTTTGCCCCACAACTGTACTAGATATTTACTACCATTTTTTTCTTTGAGATAATGAGATGAAAATTGCATGCTCATCACTGCTTAGCGAATAGCGACTAAGATAAAAAAAAATTCTATTTCGATCTTTCTGAATGGTCTATAGGAATTTCCTGTATACGTATGTTTGGACAGAATAAATTCGTATTTTTAGGGTCACGAATGTTATGAGATAGAATGTTCGAAAAAAACTTTGAGCTTTGATGGAAGACGATTGAAATTATGAGCGATTATTTTTTCAGAGTCTTAAAAAAGAAGCAGATTGGGGTGGAGGAGAAGGCAGTGGCGAAGACATAAAACCACTTAGAGAGAGCCCAACTGATTATTCCAGGAACCTACAAGAACCGGTAAGTTCATTATTATTACTATCATCAGAAGACAATGGACAATGGTGAATCAACTACAAAAATCTCAAATTGTTATACTGAAGTAAAATTATTGTTTACTAAAAAGTTTCGAGAAGTGATTTTGTTTCGTGAATTCAAATTCTTCGACTATGTATCAATCACGTGATGTCTCACAGTTGACCTGGTTGGCTTCTACGATGCTAACATTTTTTAAATGAATACGACTATCATATGGACCAAGTAGCTCTTCATTGTCTCAATGCCAAATGTTTCAAAATGTTAAATTTGATTTATTTTCGATAAACTCTACAAATGGACATGAATGTAATCATGAATCTGTTTCGAACAAAGTGAATAACTTTCTGATGATTCAGTAATGATACTTATAATAGTATATTATGTAAAAAGAGTTATAAACGTCCGTTTAGTAAAGAGTATTTTAAGCACGAGCGGAGCAGAGCAGAGAGAGTGTTCAATAAACGAGTGTCTAGGAGAGTTTATGAACGCGTTTCATACTATGATTTTTCTAAGAACTCCGAAAATTACATTAACATACCTGCTATTCCTGCTAACCTACAAAATAATTCGAAAGGAATGGGAATTGAGAACATAATACATGCAACTCCATGCAACCAGCGAGACACGTATAAGTGATATTGGTTGTAGATGTGTCCAGTCCATTGCTTACTAACCTTTGTTCCAAGTTTTTTGTCATGCTTAGCGCAGAATTAATAAATTGTTCTCAAAGATGGATGCTTCATTTTTACACGTCTTGGAGATATGCAAGTACAAAATATTCTCTTTGATTTCACTTTCGTCTACATTTCGCATGTCCTTTAATAGAGAAATTCTGATACAAACGAAGATTGTTTGAATAATTCTGATACAAAATTCGTAAATGACAGTGGACAGTTCCTACAATTGACAGGCCAGTCATGTCTCAAACGACTGAAGGTGTGTTTAATGAACTGTGTTGCAATGGTAATGTGTTTAAGAAATCGTGTTGCCATGGTAACGTGTTTAATATTTTGAATAAATCACAGATCGTCAATTAGTGATTAATCGATCATTCAGCGTGGTACATATTCGTACGCTAAATGCCATTTTAGTTATGTAAGTAGAAAAATATGTTTAACTCCGCTTTCCGAATGATCTGCTAATCCAGATAATCGGACTCGGTATACGGTATATTTAATGAGAACTATGAACAATAAGACAAAGTTTTGATTATTTGAACATATTCTTTTACTTGCTACCTGATGCCCTTGAGCATCACGTCCTCAATTCGTCAGTGAGGCAGTGCTATTATATCTTTGGCCTGTGATCAACATTTCAAACAAGCCATGGAACGAAAGTTCATAGTTTTAGGTACAAATATTTTGACTAGATACTTAACCGTGTGTCCGTGTGCCGTCAAGAAGTTGACAAAATCATTTGGCTAAGAGTGGTGACCTCCTCTTCACGCCACTTTTCACCAGCATCGTACTATGCATATCTGTAAAAAAACATAAAAAAATAAATCGGACGGTCTCTGAAGGCACACCCCCTTCCTCTGCTTCCTATAGCCAAACAGAATGACACGTCAACTTCTTTGGACGGCGCCACCCCAACCCCACCCCTCTCTCCCCACCCTCTCGCCAAGAAGAAGTTGATGTTCTTTCTATTTGGTTGCAGGAGCAGCCGGACCCCGCCAGAGAAAGAGAAGACGCCTCCTCGCCCCGCCTCTACCCCTGCATGTACTGCGGCAACACCTTCCCCCACCAGAGCAAGCTCACCAGGCACATCCTCTCGCACAGCCTGGAGACCTTGAAGTACCGCGAGCGACACGCTGCCCCGCCCCCTTTAGTCCCGCCCTCGCTGGCCGAGCCAATCGCCTTCCTCGATTTCGCCGGCCGGCCTACGCACGAACCGCCCGATCCCACCGACCAACCCCCCACTCCAATGGACTTGGAGATCGCTGAAGGGGGCGGAGCCAGCGGGGTCGTGCTGTGTAAGTTCTGCGGCAAGTCATTCCCGGATGTGAGCTCGTTGATCGCGCATCTTCCGGTGCACACCGGAGATAGACCGTTTAAGTGCGAGTTTTGCGGGAAAGCGTTCAAGTTGAGGCATCACATGAAGGACCATTGCAGGGTACATACGGGGGAAAGACCGTTTCGGTGTGCGCTATGTGGAAAGACGTTTTCGAGGTCGACCATTTTGAAGGCGCACGAGAAGACTCACTATCCCAAGTACGTGAGGAAGTTTTTGTCGCCTAGTCCGTTGGACACTGAGGAGGAGAATCCGCATTGAGGAGGAGGTGTTTTGGCGTGTACAGTGTCATACATAAAGTTGGCATCATATTATGGGAAATACTTTTGATGATAATTTATTGTTGAATTCGACTTGGGCGTTAAGTTTTGCTTAAAAAAAGATGGAAAATTGCGTACTCGGACATGTTGGAAGTTTAATTTTTTGGAATTAATCGTGGAGAATAGGCTTATTTGTTCGAATTTCAAGAAAGTATACAAGGAAAAGTTGATTCTCTTTCAATTCCACATGCACATATGTTCCGAATTCGAAAGTTCTATTGCATCAACTTCCAGTTCTTGATATTTTTTTATTTTTTCTAATCGTATCTCCGACAAAACTGTTCTAAAATTGGTAAGATACATAAAGCAGTTCGATGATATTTTGATAGATAACTGGCATCATTTCAGTACTGGAAAAATCAGTTTAAATAAATTTCGTGCCTGAATGATACATCAACTTTGCATCAAACATAACAGATTTTATTATTTTCTGAAGAAAATCATACTTTTGTCGATAATTATACAGGGTGTTTCCTAACTACGGTCCTAACTGCATGTGGTGATTCGTTTGGTCATTTTAGGAAGAAAAGTTCCTATTAACATATATCCGGAGTTGCTTCGTTTCTGAGATACATGGCGTTGAAATTGAAAAAAAAAACGGTAAAAATAAAATATCATGAATAACCTGGATCCGATTTAGTTGAAATTGGGTACTTTTATTTGAACTAATAAGGCACTTATTTAGCCCTATTTAGATTGGAATTATTGGAGCCAGTGGTGTCTCAGTGCGCATCACACACAACAATATTGTGGAAAAAAATACGCCACTAACTTTTTTTGGTTGATTTCTATGTTTTTTTAGATTAGGCAACTCAGAATACAACTTTTTGATCTCCTGTATTTTCTTCATATCATGCTTCGTTTTCGAGAAAAAAAAACTAAAGCCACTGTATTGCATATCATGAACACCTGCATTGGAGAAAAGAGTTTTTCATTATTTCCGTCAAAAATATAATTGACACTTGATATGCTGAAATTTTAGAAAATTTAACAAATAAAAGTACAAAGTTTCAACCAAATCGGTTACAGGATATTCGTGATATTTTATAATTACCGTTTTTTTTTTTCTTTAATTTCAACGCTCTGTATCTCATAAACGAAGCAACTCTGGAAATATGTTCATAGAAACTATTTTTCTTAAAATGACCTAACAAATCACTCCCTGCAGTTAGGAACCGTATTTAGGAAACATTCTGTATAGTGATTGAAAGTAATTAGCATTATAACGGAACTAGAATGAGATAGTCTTGTCGGTGTTGATTTTTCTGAATATTACAGATATTTCGTAGAAATCGAAATAATATCAAAAAATAAGAGTTGTGATAGAACGTTCAAATTCGAGAGACATATGAAAAATTGTAATAGAAACTACTTTCTTTCCTAAACTTTTCGGAAATTCGAACAAATAATCTTATTTCTAGCGATTAATTAGAATAAACGTAACTTTTGGCATGTAGGGAAAGTCACGTGACCTCCCGAACGAGTAGTCAATTTTTAATATTTGTCAGTCGAATTTCGCAATGACTTAATATTGAAATGCCGACTTTATGAATGACACTGTAGATAGATCGTTGTCTGTTTTAGATGGTGGGGTGGAAACCCTCCTAGTACCAAATTTAAGGTTGTGCTATTAGAGTTAAATATCGAGGGTAGGGGGATTGTTAATCGCCTTTATCCTCGGAATGCAAGCAATGTTACAATTTCTCACGTTTTTTATGATATATTCGATGGTGATCATGATTTTTGGCAGTTGCGAGTAAGCAATCATTGTTAGCCAATTCTCGCCCCAGTAAACCTGCTTCCAATAAGAAGCATAATTTTGAGATTTTAAATCATCAAGTAGTATTGATTCAATTTTTCTAAAATTCGAAACAAAATAACCTCCGGAAATACTCACTGTTTTTTTTTTGTATAAGCTCAGATTTACTGGGGGAGATTTGGTCTGGTGTCCCTATATTTTGACTTCTTTTGCTAAACGCGAGAGCTGTGATAGATTTATTACCTTCATTGTTTTTTAGTTGTGTGGGATTTGGTGTACTTATGCATAAATAAGTGATATTTTAGGACGATATTCACCTGAGCTGTGAAGACGAATAATGTTTCTTCTGACGAAAAATCTGGAATATGTAGTTTAAAAAAACCACGAATGACTTTGAAAGACTTTTTTTTACAATGAGAAACCATCAATACTTTGAACATATCATACTTTTACTATCTTTCATGCGGTTCTCATTTTATCTTAATATCAATGATCAGGAGAAACATTTACATTTTGTCTTTTTTTTTACTTGGTTCCCAATAATGTTAGAACCATAGTAGATGTACCGCTAGTACCATTGCGTAAACTCAGAAAAATATTCACCCTGTTTTGATGAATAATCCTAACCGAACCTATCATTAGATTGATCTCGGAATGAAATACACATGGAAATAAACGGAAATGCGTGAATACTTTTCATAGAGCTTGTACATTGGTGCCATTCTCATAATTCCTGATGGTTTATAGAATACCTTACAGTATTAGATTCAAGTAGAAGATGGTTCTTATGGTCCAACCGAGATGCATTCAATTGTTTTTGAATCGACGTAATAGTTTCAATTTGTTATAATAGTTTTGAGATGCCTTGGAATAATGTCATTTTTAAAGGTCAC